AATCTTGTTTCGTTTTCGAATCACGGGGCATATATGGGTTAAAACATATAAGATACTTTATTGCGCTCTTGTTCGCAGCCATTTAGAGTACGCCTTTCAAGTGTGGAACCCAAATTATAACATTTATATAGATAGGATTGAGCAAGTACAAAAGCGTTTTCTACGTTTTCTGCAATTTAAAACGCAATTTTACACTGATAACTACATTTCGCGATGTAAAAAATTTCATATTTTGCCTCTGCACGAACGTAGGCGCATAGCAGATATGATTTATCTTTTCAAATTGGCAAATGGTAATGTTGACTGTCCGGAGCTACTGAATAAGCTAGGATTTACAACAAGAGGTACCCTCTTAAGAAAGCCTCGCTTACTTCACGTGCCGCATACCCGGAATAAATACAGGCAAAATTCTTTTATGATACGTGCATGCAAAACTTTTAATGACATTTCCAATAGCGTTGACTTGGATCTGTTTAATACCAGTGTTTCTCAATTAAAAAATATTTTAGCGCAAAAATTCTTTTGTTGAGTGTTCTTCTGTTTAATTTTGTTAATTTACTGTATTTGTCTTAAACGATGTTTATCTTTTACCGACTAGAATTATTGTTTTTAAGTTCATATTGCTTATAGGTGAAAACTTTTAAATGGCCTTCTAGTTGTTATTCATTTATTTATTGTTAATGTTAGCTGTAAGTTTTCCAAAAAGAATAAAATAAATAAATAAATAAAAATAGGTTCTTGGTAACCGTGTAGTGGCGGTGTTAGAATATCCACTATATATATATATATATAATCTGTGGTGTCTGGGAGAAACCTGTTAAGTCCAAAAACGTAATTTTTCAGTATAAGACTTTTAAGGTTCAAGTTTAATTTATAAATCAGTTAGGTAAAGTAGAAAAAGCTAACCACTGCTGCAGTAACTATTTATTAATCAGGTTTTTTTAAATATATTAACTAAAACTAAAAACACAGCCGTTTCATTTTAAATGGCACTTATCATTTATTAACCAAATTAACATTAACTAATTAAATCGATAACAATGGAGTTAACATATTGAAATCAAAAGTTAGTAGAACATAAGTGTTATAATTTATTCGTAATTTTCGTCACTGTCGCTTACAGAGTCAGGATTCGTGTTTGAGGTTTTCAAATTTTTATAAAAATTATGATAAACACGATCTATAAAAGGTAGCAAACTCATAATATCATGGTACTTTTTTGAGCATATAGGTAAAGGACTCGAATATGCTCTTGGTATGCTCAAAGTAGCAACCGATGATACCCGTCCCCTTTTAACAAATGAGTAGTATCTAAAAGGTTCACTTGAGTCTAAAGACTCTTTGAACGCCACATCATTAGAGTCTTTAGAACACATTATCCAAAAAATATTGTTCCAAAATAAAAGGATTTTTATCGGTATCAATGTTTCTTTTCATAAACATTGTTTTGAAAAGTTGAGAAAATCCTAAAAACTCTTCTTGTGTCATCATTTGGACTGTGTATCTGCGACTAGTCATTTGGATAATGTTTGCCCAATCTTGTGGAACAGAAATTGAAACTCGTATGATGTTTTATAAATCTTTCTATCGCTGCATGATCGCTGTCGCATTCCAAATGCGTATGTCCGGGCACTAAAAATTTGTGATGGATTTCATTTAAACTGGTTTTTTGATTGATAGCTAATGCAAACATTAATGGTAAAATATTATTTCTGTTTTGTCCTGGGCAGGTTTTTTTTTTTTATATGATAAAGGTGACAAACGAGCACACAGTCCACCTGATGGTAAGTGGTTGCTGCGGCCCATAGACATCTACATCTATCCTCTGTTACAAATCAAAATGTAGATGCGTTGTCACCCGTGAGGACTAAGATGGAATGCCTCATTTCCAGTAAAAAGGGCCTCCGGCCACCTGCACTCACCAAGCGAAACGTAGAGGTAAACCTCTACTTCACGCTGGTTTTCTGTGAGGTTGTGGTAACACAGGTATCTGAGTAGAAGATTATCTGCTCTACAATATCTGGTAGCTCCATAATAAATCGAAACAAACATGATGTAATCTCATCCGCACCTCTTTGTGCTATACTTTCGTACCAAACAAAACAGTGCGTTCGTTTTTCTGTGATGTTACGTACAGTTAAATTAAAAGTCCATAGCTTCCTTTTATAAAACGATATTCCAGCTGATAGATAAGGAGTCGCTAAACATTTTTGTAGATCGAATGCAGCAACAACAATATTTCCATTACTTTGCTTACTCAATTCCTTGTCCTCTCTTTTCGAATTATAATGTGATTCAGCTTTACTTTGATGAATAGTCTTTTTCTCTTCTAAATTTTATTTTTCATTAGCATCCTCACAAGTTTTAATTTGAAGCGTAAGCGAATCGCAAGTTTTGCAAGTATCGTTTGAAGGTTTTTGAATTTCAAATTGAGTGTTTTATAATTTAAAATTAAAAATTTTGTACAGCCGACTTTAATATAAGTTATTTAAGAATAACTTAAAAACTATTGGTCTGACCTTGATCAAATTCATATGGGACCACACGAGAAGTACCAGCTTTCAAATAAAAAAAGAATCATCGAAATCGGTTCACCCAGAAAAAAGTTCTGAGGTAACACACATAAAAAAAAAACGAAAAAAAAAACATACAGTCGAATTGAGTACCGGCTCCTTTTTGGAAGTCGGCAGAAAAATGCTACGAAACAGCGTAATGCTTACTGGCTGTAATCCTTCTTCTCCATTGTCTTTCACGTATTCATCTTTGTACAATTTGTACAATATCTTCATGTTTAAATCCTGATGTAGGTATTTTTTATTCGTATGGCGTCGGGAGTAGTGACTTTCATAAGTTGAAAATTTGTCGATGAAGTTTTTGACGTATTGGATGTCATGGTCAGAACGTTTATTTCCAGGATCCCTTAAACCTCTTTGATCAGCTTTTACAATAACAGAAGCCGATGAGCTGTTCTTTTTCTTCTTAACGATTTCGTCTATAAGACCTCTGCCTTCACCATATGTTTTCATGAAACATTTTTTGCAAATATTTCCTTCAGTTCCATCTATATTGTAAACAACTGTTACCTCTCTGTTTTTCATAAATGAATTTCTTCTTGGATGCTCTTTTGGTTTAATTTTAATCAATCCACTCAAATATCTCTTTTGTGCTTTTCTAGACGGTAATTCCCTGTAGTCAATGTAAAGCTGGTTCAAATTAATTTTCTCAAGCTTTTGTTGACATTTTGCCCTACAATTATCTGAAAATCCACCCGGATAACGCTTTGGTATACATTTTCCTTTTGCAGTTACATATTCCTCGCCTTTTCGACGTTTTTCCGTACGCTCCTTTCGTAGCTTTCTTTGATAAGGACCATAACCTTTCTTCCTCTTTCTACATAATAAAGCCAATGGGATATTATCGTCACCATCACCATCATCGGAGTCAGATTTACTTGTAGATTCTTCGTTTTCAATAGATGTTATCAAATCATGACTGACAAGTTGCCATTCATCATCAGAGCCAGAGCAAAATCGTAAAAATATTTTTAAATATTTGATACAGAGCTGATATGTGGGAGTTATCAGAAATAAGATCTAAAGTTTTAATTTTTTGCGTTTGATAATATCATGACTAGTTTAGTTATCGAATTTGTACCAAACCATTAATAAAAAATCATGAATAGTCACGTTTTTACCGCTACGATTCTCCCACTCCTATGATAGTTACACTTATCAGCAATAGACCAAAATAAAATATGTTTTTTTTTAATAACAACATAGTACCAAACTAAAAAATGACGAAAATGGAGTTATCAGGTTTCTCCCAGACACCACAGATATATATATTGTCCCGTGGGTGTCGTAAGAAACGACAGAGGGAAACTAAAACGGGAGATGGGTAGCAGCATCTTCCTGATAACAGCTGAATAAAAGTAAAAAACTGCGGTTGCCTACCCGCCGTGGATAGGCTGTAATAGATGGATAGGTTCCTGGAACCCTATAATTTTTTTATTAACATTACAATTGTGTGTTAGATCTTTAGTGTATTATAAAATTAGGTCGTTGTTTAATCATTATCTGGGTGGAAGCCGTCTCTTCAAACATTCGATTATTTTCCTTTGTTAATAAGTTGAGGGAGGGCCTATGTTCAGCAGTGGAATTTTTGTATAGGCTGTTATGAAAGAATGAATGAAAATTAAGTCGTGATTGGCGTGATTACTATTTGGAGGACCCCAAGTAATAATATTAGAAAATTATATGCTATCATATTATTGTTTAGGGTTATAAATAGGAGAGAGGCAGCAGCATCTTCCTGATAACTCAAAATATTAAAAAGAAACTGTGGCTGCCATGTGCTGCAACTATGGCAAATATTCCTATGGTCAGACTTGATAGGCTGTGATGAATCATAAATGATGTGATAAGAATAAAAGAGTGAATTATCGCAAAAAAAGATTAGTGAATATTGATAATTGCTAGTAAGATAATTCAATGGGCTGACCTTGTGGAGGTCAGTGTTTCACATTTACAAAATAATGCACCCTATTGAGGTATAATTTTGAAGATTCAAGATATAAATTAAATAAAAAGTTCCACTCTCTATGAATATAAGACTAAGAAACCCAAAGCAGCATACCCATACATTTAGAGAATGTTGAATTATCACGATCATACCACCAGAATTCGAATAAGTGAATAGAATTGTTATAAAAGGTATGTTCCGACATGGAATTTTCTAGGCGACATCAGTTTTAGAGTTTCTGGCCAGGCCAAGAATATCGGTGTTTGATGCTAAAATACAGCGTTCGTCTAAGATGTAAGGAGACCTGAACTTGTATGCTAATCTATTTAGATATGGAGAAACAAAACCTGTTGTAATTTATATTGAGTTCTACAATAACAATCATGACCTAGATTTTACTACTCAATCAAAACTAACTTTTAGTTATAATTCAAAAATCTTGGATTCTTAAGTAAACTGCTTTCAATACTTGCTTTTAGGTTTAGACGACAAGGAACGCAAAGACCGCGAAGCCAAAAACAAACCTCTAGACCTGGAAGCACTTGAAAGGTGGGAGGTGTCATTGATGGAATGCCGGAGCTTTGCCCAAATAGTGCTGCATTTACTAACTCTAGACTCTAGTATAACTTGGTCTGCCAGTATCCTGAATGCCAGCTGCAGATTGTGCAGAAGGAAAACTGATCCAGACAACATGTTGCTGTGCGATGGATGCAACAAGGGACACCATTTGTACTGTCTCAAACCTAAACTATCTGTGAGTGTTGCTTGATTTTTTTTATTTTTTTCCTTTTTGAATATAGGTCCTAATATGAAGGAATAACATTGTGTATATTATTAAGTATAAAACAGAAAAGTATTCAATAATAGAGCTGTAAATTCACTTGGGATCATCATAGTCTCGTCATGGATTGCCACAAAGCATGGTCATCATAAGCAACCCGCTTTCATCAACTTCATCTTGTAGTTTACAAGATTACCTCTCCACTGTATTCCAACTTTGTTTTGATATAAATTGAATGCTAAAAACGGTTGTGGCTACATACACTGGAGGCTGTGCTTATTGGAATGCAAACACTTTCTAATAATGCGTGTATGATATCAGAATATGTGCATGTAGAAAGGGTAATTGAGTATAGTACAGTGACTAATTTTGTAGTTCGGAATAATAATTAATTCGTTTACACGCATTAATTATCCAACGAGTCAAGGATAAACTAGTAAGGGAATACGACAACCGCACCGTTCCAGTTCAGAGCCAAGACTTAACTTTAACGGCGGCCGCTCCGTCCGTTTTATACAAACAAAACGGACGCCACCGCAGGTGCAATGGCACAGGTGTGCCGTGCACGTGTTGTTTACAAGAATTCTGTCTAGCTACACCGACGCCGCCGCACGTGCAATGGTGCACCCACAACTGTAGGAATAGCTGTTTGAACTGTTCATACCAAAAAAACATTAGCTAATAGAAATAGTAAATATAAGCTTAGAAGAATATTGCTAGTATCTTGAGATACTAGTTGTAACTAACAACATTAACTTTATATTTTTTTTTATAAAACTGAAGTGACAAATGAACTTCCAGTCCACGTGATGTTTAGTGGCTAAAGCAGTCTACAGACACCTGCAACCAACTTCGAACAAAGATAGCCACACATTGCAATCCATGAGGGCCAAGATGGAATGCCTTACAGCTGGATAATACGGGTTCTCCAAACCCCTTGAGACTGGAACACAGCAGTGCACTGCTATTTGCAGGCAGAAATTTAAAAAAATATTTAAGCGATTGCAAACTTTATATTTTTGAAAAAGATTAATTGATGCTGGTATCATTCAATTTTTAAATCTTATCCTGTTGCTTTCATGCATTCAGTCAATAATTGCGGCAAGGGTAAGTAGCACTGGCCTGTATATATGAACTGGCTATACACCGTGACATAATGAGGCGATTTGATTTCCGCCATTTTAGGTGCTGACGGCAGAAGTGAACGTCCACGGAACTAATAATAGAGATAAGACTGAAAAAATATATTGAATATATCGATAAGAATTATATACCCAGGCCTACCCGTGACCTCCATTCTATTTATGTATCATAATATTAATATACCATACAATAAATAAATGTATCAATTAATACCTAGGCCTTAGATGCAAGCTTTATACCTCATATAAAACAAGAATTGCATTGATCTATCTACGTTTTTATTCGTAACTACAGAATGGATTTTGTTCCGGGTTTCAAATGAGAAAATGCCTATGCATACCTGCATTGCAGGGGCAAGAACGGATTATGTTGGACTTGCACCGACTAAAACCCCATGATGTTCCACCTTCACCACACATTAACAGGCCCACAGAAACGCTTTCAAGCACATCCGCGGCCTCACCAGCGAGGACACCTTCTTAGTTGAGGACTTCCCTCACCGGCATCCCGAGCCCGATATGTGGAGGCCATGGAGCCAGGAAAACCTCCCTCAAGGGGTTCCCGCCTTGTCGTGGTAGGAACCCGTTCAGGAAGGGGTTATTTCTCACCTAAACTCACACAAACTCACGAAGGACATTAATAAATTTGCAGTACCAATATAAATTTATTACCTTGATACAACGAATTGGTCATAATAGTTATACAGATTTAACAAACTTACGTCTTTTAAACACAAAGTCATCATCAGGCGACCTTTCTACACTTGGCTATGGCCCTTGAGTCTGGGAGAAAATAAGGAGAGAAGAAATAAAAAAAAACATTCGAAATAATATTTTAATACTTTTATACTTACTGGTACTGGTACTACCAGAAAATATTGTGGGTATACTGCAGTTTTTCAAAGTGGTGCGTTTCTCATGTCCAATAAAACAGTCATCTGTGAAGTGTTTAGAACAAAGATAGTCATTTTATTTCGGACGCCAATTCATAGTTTTTGTGCTTTTTATTAGCTATCATTTTAGTATAGGTTCAGTTGGAAACCTGTTAATAAACATTTGATAATTATCTGTTGTGGGCGACTTTGCTTGTGAACAGATATAAGTAGAAATAAATATCGATAAGTATTATAGACAAGGAACTCGACAACCCTATTGAATTTTATTATTTATCAAAAATCAGTAATATACATACGATATTAAGATAAGTAACAAATTTTTAAGTACCTATATTATCAAATAGTTTTAATTAGCTTAATATTAGCTGCAAATTCACTTACTTGCGGAATGTTATCCCACTTTCCTTTTAGTATCGAGTTTTACATATTACGCACACTCATAATTACTAAAAATAATTCTTATTATGTAACTAAAATCAAACATAATCAAACCACATAAAATACTTTCAATTTTAAGATTTACAAAATCAAAGTACTACAGAGATAAGATTTCTTCTTCTTTTAAATTACGGCTTTTCTTGAGAGATATACGATTTAAATAATACAACAGACTTTGGCATATTATGTCAATTTTAATTCCCGGTACGAACAGTGAGAGTGCTTCAAATCGGAATAAGCATTTTGTATGGCATAGACAGTCCAACGTACTTGTATATATAGAGGTCAGTGGTAAGTAGTCTTCAAATGGAATATAAGATATCTGTGAGAATTATGTTTTCCTGGTCACTTTCAACTAATACAACAATTTTCGAATACCATCGAAATTATGTTTTTTCACAATTGTTGGCTCTAGTGGTGGTGGGGATTCAAACTTATACAATTCTTGGTGAAGTAATCTTCTGACTACTAAGGTACTAGGACATGCGGTTGTTGTTATACTAAGATAAAATTACGATTTGTGGAAAAGAAATTAAATTGTGTAGCAAAAAAAATTAAATATTTAACATCATATATTTTTTAACCAGACTTATTTTTCATAAACAGAAAGTACCTGACGGCGACTGGTTCTGTGATCAATGTAGGCCAAAAGAGAAGATTCCAAGAAAGAGGAGAAAGCTGTTCTCTGATGACGACGTTGAGGAAGATCTGGACAACAGGTATTTGAACTATAGATATCAAATAATAATAAAAGTAATATAATATTAAAAGTATAATGGATAGTAATTCTGCTAAACATCGGATCTGGGGACACGGGAGTGCCCCCGCCAAGTCGAATAAAGACGCGGCACGGCCGTACCATCCTTTTCTCGAAGTAGTTCAGGCCATCCCCTATAACTTCGTTGTGGATTACACTAGAAGCCTGAATTTAGTAACCAAGTAGATATTGTATAAACTCGGTATATGTCAAATTTCATTAAATTTGAACCAGTAGTTTAAGAATTACAACTAGTCAAAGTTTCTTAATTTTGTCACTCAGACTGACACTTCTAGCAGACATAGAAGCTTCAAATTCAGAATACAATTAGTGTTTAGTGTATAAATCAAGGAAAAATTAAAATATTTTGCAATATTGGTTCACTTTTCTAGATACCTCAACTGCATAATTAACTTTGTAATCCCATACAAATATATAGGATTACAAAGTTACATTTGCAGTGAATAAATCAGTGTACCTGTATAGGTATAATATAAGGGAATAATAGGTGTAGGTAGGTACCTAGATATAACTATTTACAAAAAGAAATGAGATACCGTCAAAAACATAACTTGTAATAAAAAAACCAAGTCTCGCAACTCAGTTCTTCTACCGTAAAAAGTTGTGAGATCCATGTAATACCAAGTCGGTTGATTTATTTAGTCCATTCTTAAGGGTCCTTCTGTCTTAAGTTATTACGTAATTAGCTAACTAACTAACTAACCTAACCTAACAACATCTTATAGTGCCATATCAATATTAAAAATCTTTTATCTTTTAAATAAATAGATTGACTTGGCAATCGCAATAAACAATCTAATTTAATATATTATGTATTACTTGAGAGATACATTGTGTTTTCATGCGTTTCATGCGTCACTGTGACGAGCAACTACAGAACCCTACCTCGACATTGTGCGTGGCCCGACACGCGAGTGTATATTATATTTTTAACAAGTGACGTATTTGTATGATTGGTTAATGTGACGTTGCGTTGCAGCGGTGGCGGTGGCGAGGAGTGGGGCGGCGTGTGTGCGGCGTGTGGCAGCGGCGGGCGACTTGCGGCCGCGTGTCGAGCCTGCGCCGCGCGCTGCCACGCCGAATGCCTCGCCACGCGCCGCGCGCTCTGCGCCGACTGCAGGCCTGCGCGCAGAGGTACCACTCACTCACTCACTCACTCACTGCGCCGCACGCTGCCACGCCGAGTGCCTCGCCACGCGCCGCGCGCTCTGCGCCGACTGCAGGCCTGCGCGCAGAGGTACCACTCACTCACTCACTCACTCACTGCGCCGCACGCTGCCACGCCGAGTGCCTCGCCACGCGCCGCGCGCTCTGCGCCGACTGCAGGCCTGCGCGCAGAGGTACCACACACTCACTCACTCACTCACTCACTGCGCCGCACGCTGCCACGCCGAGTGCCTCGCCACGCGCCGCGCGCTCTGCGCCGACTGCAGGCCTGCGCGCAGAGGTACCACTCACTCACTCACTCACTCACTGCGCCGCACGCTGCCACGCCGAGTGCCTCGCCACGCGCCGCGCGCTCTGCGCCGACTGCAGGCCTGCGCGCAGAGGTACCACTCACTCACTCACTGCGCCGCACGCTGCCACGCCGAGTGCCTCGCCACGCGCCGCGCGCTCTGCGCCGACTGCAGGCCTGCGCGCAGAGGTACCACACACTCACTCACTCACTCACTGCGCCGCACGCTGCCACGCCGAGTGCCTCGCCACGCGCCGCGCGCTCTGCGCCGACTGCAGGCCTGCGCGCAGAGGTACCACTCACTCACTCACTCACTCACTGCGCCGCACGCTGCCACGCCGAGTGCCTCGCCACGCGCCGCGCGCTCTGCGCCGACTGCAGGCCTGCGCGCAGAGGTACCACTCACTCACTCACTGCGCCGCACGCTGCCACGCCGAATGCCTCGCCACGCGCCGCGCGCTCTGCGCCGACTGCAGGCCTGCGCGCAGAGGTACCACTCACTCACTCACTCACTCACTGCGCCGCACGCTGCCACGCCGAATGCCTCGCCACGCGCCGCGCGCTCTGCGCCGACTGCAGGCCTGCGCGCAGAGGTACCACTCACTCACTCACTCACTCACTAACTCACTCACTGCGCCGCACGCTGCCACGCCGAATGCCTCGCCACGCGCCGCGCGCTCTGCGCCGACTGCAGGCCTGCGCGCAGAGGTATCACTCACTCACTCACTCACTCACTCACTGCGCCGCACGCCGCCACGCCGAATGCCTCGCCACGCGCCGCGCGCTTGCGCCGACTGCAGGCCTGCGCGCAGAGGTTCCACTCACTCACTCACACACTCACTCACTGCGCCGCACGCCGAATGCCTCGCCACGCGCCGCGCGCTCTGCGCCGACTGCAGGCCTGCGCGCAGAGGTACCACTCACTCACTCACTCACTGCGCCGCACGCCGCCACGCCGAATGCCTCGCCACGCGCCGCGCGCTCTGCGCCGACTGCAGGCCTGCGCGCAGAGGTTCCACTCACTCACTCACACACTCACTCACTGCGCCGCACGCCGAATGCCTCGCCACGCGCCGCGCGCTCTGCGCCGACTGCAGGCCTGCGCGCAGAGGTACCACTCACTCACTCACTCACTCACTCACTGCGCCGCACGCCGCCACGCCGAATGCCTCGCCACGCGCCGCGCGCTCTGCGCCGACTGCAGGCCTGCGCGCAGAGTTACCACTCACTCACTCACTCACTCACTGCGCCGCACGCCGCCACGCCGAATGCCTCGCCACGCGCCGCGCGCTCTGCGCCGACTGCAGGCCTGCGCGCAGAGGTTCCACTCACTCACTCACACACTCACTCACTGCGCCGCACGCCGAATGCCTCGCCACGCGCCGCGCGCTCTGCGCCGACTGCAGGCCTGCGCGCAGAGGTACCACTCACTCACTCACTCACTCACTCACTGCGCCGCACGCCGCCACGCCGAATGCCTCGCCACGCGCCGCGCGCTCTGCGCCGACTGCAGGCCTGCGCGCAGAGGTTCCACTCACTCACTCACACACTCACTCACTGCGCCGCACGCCGAATGCCTCGCCACGCGCCGCGCGCTCTGCGCCGACTGCAGGCCTGCGCGCAGAGTTACCACTCACTCACTCACTCACTCACTCACTCACTGCGCCGCACGCCGCCACGCCGAATGCCTCGCCACGCGCCGCGCGCTCTGCGCCGACTGCAGGCCTGCGCGCAGAGGTACCACTCACTCACTCACTCACTGCGCCGCACGAGAGCATCGCCACGCCTGCAGGTACCACTCACTCACTAACTGCGCCGCACGAGTGCCTCGCCACGCCTGCAGGTACCACTCACTCATTCCGATAAGTGTATTGTACCTCTGCTCACTGACTGAGTCGCTCACTCATTTCACTGCGACCTCTCGCTGCCTCGCCGCACTCACTCACCTCTACTCACTGGACGTCCATGTGCCGCACTCCCACGCCCATGAATCCTATAACCCTACATGAGTTCAAACGTCAATAACAGGACGAGTATTTTGGGCCACTAACAAAGTATACGGTTCTGTATTAACGAGTATTACTAAAATTAGAGTTGTGAACTTTTAAATTGTGTATTGTGCAATGTGTTACGTTAATTATTAAACATATTTATTTAATTAAACTATATTTTATTATATTATATAAAGTAGGATATTTATGTGCAAATAATGCATTAATAAATTATATGTATTTTAAAGAACACACAGTCCGTCGGTGCGCGGCGAACGCCATCAACAACATCCACGAATACGCGCGAGCGCTGGAGGGACGGAGGGACTCCTCTGGTTCGTGCCCTTATTATGGCATGTTGCCTGGTCACCCCACCATAATATATACCCATTGCTATAAAATCAACTAACTAATCGCTAGATTGTGGCCACCTTTTGCATACTTCGTAATAATCACTATAATCATTCATTTGGATTTGTCCACTAATTGTTTGCTTGCTTATGGTTACTTTATTTTTGTTTGGTGAATTTTGTTTCTATAATTTTCTTCTATAATTTTTCTTTTCTTTTTCTTAATTTCCTCTATAGATGTTTTCTTGTTACTGATTCATAATTGTTGTCTTCTTCTTTGATAATAATAATTACGGAAGTCCAACGTAAATCATTCCTACAGAAGTTCTTAATTCTTAACTTGCATTAAAACTTACCTGCTATGCTTTGCGCGAGGCAGTAGGACGTAATCTAGGCTGTAACTGCACTTTTAGGTATTATATGATATGATGTGCCAACCTAACTCGTGGACAAGGCTATACCCACCACCCACCGGCTGATTGAAGGAATTCTGCCCAAAGAAACTGTACCCAAATATTTCTTATACTTATTTACCTGAACACTACACATTTAAATAAAACTAATTTTACGGATTTTATTGCATATCCTAACATATTTTATATTCCCGACGTTTCGAGCACTACAGCACCCATGGTCACGGAGGGGACTGAGGTGTTTGACGTATCAATGTCGTAGTTAACCACGGCTACCTCCAGATTAAAATTATTAATTTTTGTTCCAATCTGAGCAGTATGAACTTACAGTATCTTGAAGTCTTGCAGTTGTATGCTTGGATTGGGATTTAATTTTATTAAGTATGGGATCCCAAGCAGATGGTACCACCCAGCCATCCTCTCTATTGAAATTAGGATGTTTTTAGGGTTCCATACCTCAAAAGGAAAAAACGGAACAGATATAGGATCACTTTGTTGTCCGTCTGTCTGTCTGTCTGTCAAGACCCTTTTTCTCAAGAACGCGTGGAGTTATGAAGCTGAAATTCATATCAAATACGCAAGTCTACTGTTCCTTGAAGCTGTGAAAAAATCAAACTTCTAAGCCAATGCAATCAAAAGATACAGCCGTTTATGCCGCAAATTTTCGACATTCTCAAGGGAATCAAAACCTACAGGGTACTTCCCGTGAACTCAGAATCTTAAAATTTGGTACAAAGCAACGTATTATAGCACAGATAAAGGAAAAATTGCGAAAAGCATAAATTTTTAGTTACATCATATAATAAGAATATGTTTAATAATTTTAAACTTATACCTACGGATTTGTTCGGAACCCTCGGTGCGGGAGTCCGACTCGCACTTGGCCGGTTTTTTTTTATTTCAATAGCCTCGCGAATCATCCTTGGAAGGAATCTGTGTTCTTGAGCGAGGATTTGTGGTCTATCAAATTCACTGTGCGCTCCGGAAAGTCTGCAGTCTGTGAACACAATAAATCAAAAAACAACCTAATTTCAATACAGAAGAGATACAGAAAATGGCTGGGTGCTACCATCTGCTTGGGATCCTATAATTAATGAAATTAAATCCCAACCCAAGCATACTGGTTAACTATGACATTGGGACGTCAAACTCCCCCCCCCCCCCCCCCCCCCGTGACCAAAGTTAATATACGCGATAAAATAGTTTTTTTTTTAAACTACTCAAATTTCAGACTTAGGACGTAGAACATATCCACACAAATTTGCTTCATTCGTCACGTTGTTTCCCGCCGCCAGTCTGGGTACTATATGTCTTGCGTAAATCTAGTTATATCGGCATCTATTCGAAAACGGCATCTGTTGGAGATCTCTATCAGATAAGCAAGCTGTTTTTCTCAGTATATTTACAAATGGTTTTTTATGATTTATCATGTAGTTTAATAGGCACATTTTTATTGTCCTCGTTTATTATCAATCTCTCTTCTCTTCTCGATTCACACTAGATATTATAATCTGTGAAAGTTCTTGCATATTTGTATTTAATTAACTCCTTAATTATCACCTATTCATGTTATGCCACTAAATCTCGAATAGAATTGAAGACTTCATCTCTAAGCGATTCTCTTATTTAGAAAATAATTTTATAAAGCATGTTTTATAACATTTGTATATGTCTTAGGCAGTATTATTTTACGTCATAATCTAAGTTGCCTCAATGCTTCCTCTTCATTCTTTTGTGCTCTATTTTGATCACTCGCCATTTTCTATTAGCTTAATGTACTTGTTTGTGTTATGCGTGTGCACTAGTGATCCCATGTATGTGGCAGTGGCGCAAGTGCGTACTTACGTACTTATACGTGCCTGCGTGAATTTATTATGCGGATAAAATAAGCTTGCGACCGGTCTTTGAGTAACTTCATTCAATAGATTGGTGTATGGTCGGCAAACAAACGTCATTGGAAATATTGTATAAGTAATTAATAAATTATTTAAGCAACTAAATGTTTTGAAAGATTCTTTACATACCGTATAAAGCATCAGTTGCTATATCCTTGTTTCAAAAATATATATTTTTTTTTAGAATAGGGGTGACAAACGAGCACACAGTCCACCTGATCGTAAGTGGTTGCTGTGGCCCTTAGACATATAAATCTATCTTCGTTTGCGAATTAAAATGCAGAGGCATTGTCACCCGTGAAAACTAAGATGGAATGCCTCTTTTCCAGTAAAAAGGGTCTTCGGTTCTCTACACTCACCATACGAAACAGCAGCATTAATTTTATAGCATCAATTATTCTGTGAGAGCGTGGTCCTTCCCCGGTCGAGCCGACCCATTCGTGCTACAACTATACTATTAATATAGCTGCAGCATAGCTCTCCCACGTATAAAAATACACTATAATTTATATATACTATAATTTATAGAATACAAACAATAAATTAATATTGGTTCGAGTAGCTCACTATTCTTTGGACTCTGCCTACCCCCTCGGAAAATTATAGTCGCAACACTATGAATAAAAATAATAAGTTATCATAATTTTTAGGGTGATAAACAGTTTCTCAATCATATTCGTGTGAAGCTGGTTTGACAACTGTGACGTACAAACAACTGGCATACTAGTTCTATAATTATCTCAAATTGTTGTGCGTTCGAATTTAAGTGTAAAACAAAAAGTATAATATTAGCAAAGAGTGAAATTAGATGGCTATAAGAGTACAGAGAAGCCTTAGAAAAGATAGGTGGACTGTATTAAGGATAGGGATGAGATGCGTAAGAAAGGAGTGAGTGAAGAGATGACGGCTAATACAGGAGAATGGAAGACGAAGGCATACTAGGCAAATCTCAAATAACGTGAGATAGGGGCAGGCATAAGAAAATGTTTAAAAATAAATCAAATGATAAACGCCTATTATATGCAAATACATATATTATCTCTAAATTTTAATAAATTCAACCATTTATTAAAAATCCTATTTATTTGTAGTATGTTTAACCACAATATTGATGTGTTTCTAAATAGATTCAGAAGACAGTGAATACAATACGGCGCTGGTCAAACTCAAGAAGCGCAAGTCACGCGGAAGTAAGGACCACTCCCCTCTACCAAACGGCACAACTAAGAGCAGTAAGAGGGGACGGAAGTGAGTATTTGTTGAAAATTTTATATTATATAACAATGATTCGCAACCAGTGGTCCGCAAGAGCTTAAATGTGGTCCGCGAGAGGTTTAAATATTTTACCTACCTAATCGTTTTAAATAACACATTTATTTTTTTCTCGTCACGCGGGCAGTGCGACACCGCGCGTCACATCGCAATCAAAATCGCAATTTTTTACCAAACATGTATGATAACTTTTACAATAAATACACAAATAATACTGTGAACGAATGCTGCTTTTCTGTTTATTGTATAATTATATTAAAAGTTGTGATTAAAACTTATTGTTAGATTAACATAGTTTTATTTTTTTCACTTTGTGGTCCTTGCTAACAACAAAGAAATCAAAGTGGTCCCTGGTCAAAAAAAAGATTGGGAAACCCTGTTTAATAAATTATTGTGTAATTGACATTAACTAGCGATCCGCCCCGTCTCGACAACAGCGCCACCTACCGGGTCCAATTGTGAATCTTAACCATCCAGGGACCCATTCAAACACACCACTCCAAAAACTATATCGAAATCGGTCGAGCCATTTTCGAGTTTTTGCGAGACTAACGGAGAGCAATTGATTTTTATATAAAAAATATTTCTTATCTATATACAAACATATAAATCTCATTCATTCGTTACAGCCTATCAAAAGTCCACTGTTGAGCCATTGGCATGCTTGGCAACCGCAGTGTTTTATTATTTGAATTCAGTGATATCAGTTTACCCCTGTAGTCTCTTACAACACCCACTGAATGATATTATAATTTGTATTTGCTGCTTTCAGTTGGGTCTCAAACCTTGGTCGGTTTCCTGATGTTAGTTGCACTAAATGTGCTGTAATTAGTGTTTGATGAGATCTAATAATCTTCCACTCACTAGATGTCGCAATGCCTCATGCCTGGTTTGTTCTTACCGCTAAAATAACATTTTCCGAACAAATTAATTTCCCCGCTATTATATATGTCATATTTTACACCTCATTTTTAAGTTGGCAAACTGAAGATACTTTTATTTTCTCGGACATTTAACTCGGATATTTTCTTTTATCGCGAGCGCTCTTCCTCTAAACTAGTATAGCTCAGTTTATTCTATACTTAATAATGTAATAATTTTGTGTCTTTTTCATGCCCGCCAAACAGACCTAAGAGTGAAATGAATGGCACAGCAGGTAGAAAATCCAAAGCGTCCCTCACAAATGGTGATCATGGTAAGTTATTTATTTAATTACTCATGTTAATTACAAATTGTTATAACAAAGGAGCGTAGTAAGCATGTATAGAGAAGCCCGTGCTGAGGTAGACTGATTCCATTTACTTTGTTATCGAGACCTATCGTGAAAAAAGTAATTAAAAACAACCGACTGCGTAAAAATGTTGAATGCAAAGAGAAAATGTTTGCAGCCTTCGTCACACCCAAGTTTAATACGAATATAACGACACCGCATATATTAAATCTATCTAACCTAATAGGTTACAGAGTGTGCTAAAGAAATAGGCTTCATTCATACATCTATTCTATTCATACATACATACATACATAGTCTCTAAAAGGAATATACAGATTACCTTCCTTCTGTTGCAGTCGGGTAAAAAAATAACGATATAGTTAGTAGTATAGTTCGGTAATTTTCAAACGATTTCAAAAAAAAAGGAGGAGGTTCTCAATTCGTCTGTATTTTTTTTATGTATGTTAACTTGTAATTTGGTTGTACAATTTTTTTTTATTATACCACTAGGTCGAACACAGTATCCACATTAGAATTTTCTCTTACATTGTGCAGGTGTTTTACATACCCACTAAAAATTGCACAAGACAAATGTCTTAAGCAAATTAGGAGATGGGCAACAGCATAGTAAAATTAACTTATCAGCTAAAAATAAAAAAAAACTGTGATTGACAACCCGCTCGCAAAGCGTGGCAACTGTGGCAAATACCCCGCCTATGAGGCAATCTATGGGGGTGGCCTATGTCCAGCAGTGGACATTAATAGGCTGTAACGGTAAGGGTAAACGTCTTAAAAAGTATATCCTTTCCAATTAAAGATCTTTAAAACAAGATTTTTAAAAAACAAGATCCGAGGTATAGTGTTCGGAGGACGTGACTACTGCCTCGTATGTCTTAGGTTTGAGTTTCAGCTTGAGTGAATATCTTTTGCACTAAAGGTTTTCAGCAGGCCCATTCACTTATTTATATGGGTTAACAACAGCTTAATTTCTCAAGTTTTACAAATTCCAAATTAAGCCAATTACAGTCAACCTGGATTAATTTAGTGAAATAAGAGAACACAAGCTAAATTTAAAAATGAAAAAAAAAAGAGAAGTTAAGTAATCTTAGGTAAAACTAACTTTGTTGACATGAACATTATAGTCTCTTTGTTGTACATTGCGTATTATTGCTTTTTTAGAGCTGCCAGGTCTTATAAAATATATCACGCAATGTAGTGCAAAGTGATCATATGATCAGTTGTTGAATAGGTACAAACTGCACTCTATTCAGTCCAGGCGAAAGTTCCTTGTGTGTATAGTACTTCATGGTATCATTAGTAATAAATTTGACTGTACTGACTTGACTAACAGATTATGTTATATTGTCCCAAGAACGGTTCATAGGCGGGAGGTGCGCGTTCGTAAGCTGTTCGTAACTGCTAAATGTACTAAAGTAGGGTATCCGCTGTCTCAATTGAAGTGTTACATCTGTAACATTTTTTAGTGATTTATTTTAACAATTTTTTTTACTCGTTTGTTTCGTTATGTCGCTATTTAGATTTAGATGGATACTTTTTATTATACACCACTTAAAGCATAGATAGTGTATGGAATAAAATGTACAGTTGCACAGTGCTTAACAGCAATATCTCCTAGGCCACCTTTATAAATATGTTAATTGTAATTATGTTTTGATAACGATTAATTTTGGTATTACGTGCAGTCGCTCGCACTGGCTTGTGTGCACCTTTAATTAAGTACAAACTTTAATATTAGTGTGTTTGCTGGCGACTGTACCTAACTACGTACTCATATTCAGCTGTTGTTGCTTAACATCTAATCGCGTCCGATAACTTAAGTTTATGTTCGCATTTGTTAATATGAGTATAGTGTATTTGACTACATATTTATTCTAATATTACATTAAGCTAACATTATACTATGTAGTTGTTTGCTATTCCTAATAAAGAGAAAAAAATTGAGTTCACAATTGCTATTTTTCTTTCATTATGATAACAGTTTTAACCTAAAACAAGATATTTATATATACATATACTGGCGATCCGCCCCGGCTTTGCGCGGGTGATTTATGTATCTTGAAAACAGCGCCACCTTCAGGGTCCAATTGTAAACCTGAACCATTCCCGAATGAACTTAACCACGCACACAAAATTTCATCAAAATCAGTCCAGCCGTTTAGGAGGAGTTCGGTGACATGGCCATAAAAATTATATCTACAAAGATAGATGTCTAAGAGAATCGATCACTCCATTTCGTTCAGTGGGTGTCGACGAGTAAATGCACGAAAAATCTTGTGGCTTCTGACTGATCGGATCAGAAAACACCATCTGGTACCAAGTGTGACGATGAAAGCGAATCATCACCACAATTAAAGAGGCTCAAGTCCAGATGTGGACTTTAATAGTCCGATTGTGAATATAAAGTACCTTTGAGTTAGCATAGAGACTTGGCCTTATAATGTTTCGGGCCTTATTGATCGTATCATTTTTAAAATTTTTGAAAAGTCCACTAAGAAGTGAGAGGAGGCCTGTACCCAGCAGTGGGTACCTTAGCCGTATATAGGCAGTAACTTTAACTCATAACGTTTTTAATTCTGTTCAGAGGAACGCAGCTCTTCAAGAAAGAAGGGCGGTCGACATGAAGTTCAACTGCACACGGAGGCGTTGGAGACTTTGCTGCGAGACGTCCTCAAGCACAAAGACAGCTGGCCCTTCAGCGAACCAGTCTCCATAGATGACGTATGCTTTATACATTGTTTTATAGAATAAGTGTGACCAAAGAGCTGTCCACAGTCCAGTCCACCTGATGGTAAGTGTGGCTCATAGATATCTACATTAAATTTATCCTTGCTTAATAATGATTACCCTGAGTACTAAGATGGAATGCCTCGTTTCCAGTAAAAAGGGTCTCTGGTTCTCTACTCTCGCCATACGAAGGACAGCAGCATTGAGCTGCTATTTTACGCTGGTATACTGTGAGAGCGTGGTCCTTCTTCTCTGGTGAGCCGACCCATTCGTACTGCAACCATAATATAGCTGCAGCATGGCTCTATGTACAAAACAACATACATAGTAGTTTGAAAAAGTTTTTTTATTTTTAAATAAAAAGGAGAATTTACAAACGAAATGCAAATACTTACTACAAGACTTGAAGATACTGTAAGCTTGTTCAGTAAATCGGATCATTAAATAATAATCTAAAGCTAAAGGTAGCTAGGCTAACTATGACACGAAACGTCGAGAATTAAAACGCGTTAAAATCCGTAAAATTAGTATCATTTAAAGATTATCTAATCTGCTCAAACCAAGAATGCCTTTCCCCCGTTTTTGGACTGATGATAATAATTTCTATGTTCAGGTGCCGGACTATTTGCTAGTGATCGAGGAGCCGATGGACTTCAACACTATCAAAGGGAAGCTCGAGACCGGCGAGTACAGCAGCGACAGTGAACTGCTAGCTGACGCCGCACTCGTCTTCACCAACTGCTTCACCTACAACAAAGACACACACCCAGTGGCCAGGTTGGTAAAACAAGCGAAACGCACTAAAACCTAAATCACGCTATCAAAATTCCGAAGTACTGCCGTATATATGGAATAGCTTTGTACTGCCACATGGAAATATGTGTACAGCTATATTATGGTTGTAGTACAAATGACTCTGCTCGACTCGATCGGAATAGGATCACGCTCTCACAGAATACCAACGTGAAATAGCAACTTAACACTGCTGTGTTTCGTATGGTAAGTGTTGAGAACCGGAGACCCTTTTTACTGGATATGAGACATTCCATCTTAGTCCTTAATAGTGACAATGCATCTGCATGATTGATTGACTGACTTGATTCGTAGTGGAGGATAAATGTAAATGTGTATGCGTTACAGTATCCACTTACCATCAGGTGGACTTTGCGCTCGTTTGTCACCCATATTCTATAAATAAAAAAACCGCACCGAAGCCTAAATCACGCTATCAAAATTCCGAAGTACTGCGGTATATATAGAATGGCTCTGTACTACCATACGGAGCATTAACCGCTCTCCAAGCTGAAGGTAGCTCGGCGGGAGATATTCTATTTTCCTTACCCGTCCAAATCTTCAAGCATAATCTACGTGGTAAACCTATGCTGCAGCTGTATGAAAGCGGTCGGCATTCCTAAAGCATTAATTCTGCTCTCATACTTCTCGGTCACACATAACTTTCACTATCATACTATAATAATGTCTCCCAGACCCAATTTCGATCTCGGAGGCCGGTCTCAATAGCTTAGGGACAGGATTATAGTACACGTGTGTATACGCAAGCACAAAGTCCGATGGAGCGGCAATACGACACGACCGGAGAGAGATCAGGCGCGAGACACCTTTTTCTTTTTAATTTAATTATATAATTATGTTCACCTCTCACTTCGTCATCTCTGTTCGTCAACCAGTTACTCGCTCCACCGAGTCAGTAATTTTTATTCTTGGGGCGATGTATACGCTTTTACAACAAAATCTCAGTAATTTAATATATTTAATTTAAGGTTTTTAAACTCCAATTTAACAAAATTAAATCATACATAATACTTAATTTTATCTACAATATTAAAAACTATGATAATAAAAAAAACCAAAACTAGAAACTTAATTATCATATAGTCCTACTCCTCGCGGTATCGTGCCAAGAACGCTGGCTGCGTTTCCTCGCTGAATGGCTATACTTAGCCTTTGAGCGAGAAAAGAACCAGAGTTCCTTTAGGAACTTCACCGCACGTGGACCCCACGGACCGATAGTCTCTACAGCAAATGGCACAAACATGTAGTCATCTCTCAGAGACTCATATTTACGCCACTTACTCAGTTCAGCTGCCTCTGATGCCGCCCCGGCTTTAAACGAGGTACCCCTGAGATGAGAGGCCGCCAGAGTGTCTACGCAAGTAGCATCCCACACTAGGGCTTTACCTCTCTCCCAAGAGACCAATGTCATACTGTCGGGTCTCTTGCCATCGTCTCTAAATATTCCACAAGGCTCTAAAACCGAGGGAACATTTATAGAGGCAAGAGTCCTACGGATGACATCGTTCAAAGAATTGTGTCGTGAAAACCTACCAGCGCTTTTCTTACATGAAAGTCCGTGGAGCCCAAACTTGTCGACGCTGCTACCACAGGGGCACTGATGGGGTTGATCTCCGCTCCTAGTCGGATTCCTACGGCAATGCGCAAGCTTTCCCTATCAAGTAATGTGCCGAGATTACTTGATGGTAAAGCGTGTAACCAGTGACTAGATTCCTTAGTCGAAACAGCTAGAAGGCGTGCCTTATCTTGGTCACTATGGAAATTATGAAACAAATCCTTCTGCACGCCCTGTACCAACTTTAATTTAAGGTAAATATACATTACACAAAAGAGTGACTTTCAATAAGTATTATTTATAATCTATATTGAATAAAAAAGTTTCTGTTTCTGTGAACAACAATTTTTTGCGTAAACCGTTGTATGGAAGTAATATATCTCTTTCATGGTGATAAGACCGCCTCTTGGCCTTCTATATATTAGTTATTTTGCAATAACCGGCCAAATTGCAGAGAAGGTTCAGAATAAGTATAAGCAAATTGTGAAGAAAAATTTATTAAAAATAAAACTCAAATATTTTGTCCTTTTTATCTTTTAAATTCAAAAAACGTAGTTGCATTATTTTAAATGATTGTCATTCATAAATATCTAACGCCTACTATTTTATTACGCACGCACGCATTCGTACCGGTCGATCGGTCGGCAAAAAACTATTGAATTGAATCGCACACAGAGGAGCGCGCGTACGTGTAGTTGTTGCCTATAAACACATTCAATTTGCGATAATTTCAAATAAAAATAGAAGCCATATTTACTCGTATTTTCAAAATACGACGACGGCGACTAACCATTTCAGCTCAGATCATACTAACGTGTTTTCTATTGTTTTCTAATAGAAATGTAATCCATATTCCAAGACACGGAAGGCAATATAAATAATAGGCTTAGTGTCTACTCCATGAACATATATTATTAAGGTACTTTCGTAAAGATGCTTTTGTGGCGGCGCTGTCGTCGCGCAACAAACTAAACTCACTAAAGTCTAAGTCGCGCTATCAAAGTTCCGAAGTAAAGCAGTGTATATAGTACAGCTCCGAACTATTACTTGGATCGCTGACCGCTCCCCCGTCAGAACACCTTGCCCGACGGGAGTTTTTTAGAATAAAGGTGACAAATGAACACACAGTCCACCTGATGGTAAGTGGTTGCTGTGGCCCATAGACATCTACATCTATCCTCGTTTGCGAATCAAAATGCAGATGCGTTGTCACCCGTGAGGACTAAGATAGAATGCCTCTTTTCCAGTAAAAAGGGTCTCCAGTTCTCTACACTCACCATACGAAACAAAACAGCGTTAAACTGCTATTTTAAGCTGGTATTCTGTGAGAGTGGTCCTTCCCTGGTCTAGCCGACCCATTCTTGCTACAACTATACTACCAATATAGCTGCAGCATGGCTCTACCATGCATGACTTGTTTGCTTGTGGCGCGACAACATCGCCGCCACACTTTACTTACCATTAAGTATGTTTCTATTGCAATATTAACTTCACATAAAACGACAAAGAAGAGAATACCTGCGAAGTTTTCGTTGTTTCTTCTCCAGTCAGAGAAACCCGAGTTCGAAGTAGTAGATATAAAAAAATACATTTGAAAAGCGAAATCATATAGTCTTACATCGAAAGAATAAGTATATTTTATGTTTTTTCAAGATCATAAAAACCAAACTCATACAAATTATATAAAACCACCAATTAATTTACAGAGCGGGCTACCGATTAGAAAAGTACGTCGCGAAGCGCTGCGCCGAGTTAGACCTCCCTCCTCTGCCTGAAGCGAACCTTGAAAGTGACCAAGAAGCAAGCAAACGCAAGAACGAAGATGGTGATGATGAGGGCCCCAAATCTAAAAGATCCAAGCTCAAGTGACATCAATCGTTTAATCACCTCTCGGACTACATTTTATACTGAGGCCAGTGATCAGTGTTTTACAAAATAAGGGGTGTTCACACATTGAGATACCGTTGATTTAGAAATTGAAAGACAGGCTAGGCTTGATTTGTTTCATTTGCAAGGCTTTATGATATTTATCGATACTGTAGTACTGTTGATTAAAAAAAAAACAATTAAATTTTAGCATTTTGTTACTGTGAATTCTTTGTAATCTTATTAATATCTATTAATGTTTCTAATTTATGTTACATTACCGCATATTTATTCTGGAGTACTGTGATTTTTGTATGTTTTATATTTATTTGCTTTTTTCGTTTTCGTTTTGTGTTTCGTGAGGAAATTTTGAAGTGAAGTGGTTTGTTATAATAAATAATTGATTTACTTTTACTTCATTTTCATATTGTATTCAAAACTTTGTTTAGAAGTCAGTAAAGTGATTACACAACTGCGAAAATTATTGTAACTAAAATAGAGTTTTGTCGTTCTCCATCGTTCATCCTTTTCTTTTGCAGGCAAATAGAAAAGGCTTTCATAAGGAACCTACAATAACATTTTCTATTTCAATAATGCTAACATTGTTGAAATTTGAAGTTGATTGCATTTTTTAAATAATAATTTAATATAGTAATTTCGACGGTATTTGTTTTTTTTTTTATATCCACATCTTGGAATAGGATTTCATGGAAAACAGGAATTACTTTCGTTTTATTAAAATTGAATTTATGTTGGTTTTCTTATTGTCACAAGAAGAAACATGATACAAAGAAATGCCTAAAAAAATTAGCTGCTGGATTATTATGGCAGTATTTGTAACTTTTTAAATACATGGCTTAAGTGTAAAAAGTTGCCAGCAAAATTATGTATTTGTATGATGAATGAAAGGAAAATTTTAGATTCACTTTGTTGACTTGTTCAACAATTAATACCTAAATATTTTGAAAATGATATGACTTAGGCTTTATACTGCATAGCACACATAGTATATTGTAGACACTAATTTATATTGCATTTAAGAAATTTAAAAATGGAAAATGCTAACAAAGAGAATAACAGATTCTTTACTGATTTGTAATAAAATTAAATCGATTTTATCCATCTCTTTTATTTTATATAAATAATAAATTTGAAGAGCAATCAGTCACATGTGTGAAAAATATAACCAAAGCGACTCACTCATGTAATAAGGAGCTAAAATATTCCACTAAATATAAGGTTGTACATATTATATGTTAAAATTAAATAAGTTTAGGTTACAAATAATACTCTAATGGGGTGTATTGTTACACTTGCCATTACAGTTGAAGTGCCTGTAGGGAGATGCAAGTCCCAAAGTCAATTCCCAGTAACGGATAGGCTGCTTGAGACAATGTTATAAATGCTAAATTAAGAATTACATACAACACATTATAAAACATGCAGTTGCAATAGTTATACAAGTTTGCTAAATCCTCTGATATTAAACCACAATACCTATAAGTTTGTGTATTTCTTATAATAAATATATTTACGCACGTAAAAGGCATAATTTTAACACGTTACTTGCAACTTTGCCGTTGTATAAAATATTTGTTTGTAATTTATAATATCCAGTGTGTCACATATTATAAATTAAATAGTTTGTCAAAGTGTTTTTTAGATATGTATATCAACCGTTCTATGATTTCCATCACCAGTGTTTTAGAATTATGCTCAAGCAAAACATATGTACGACTGACACAGTATTAGATATGGATAGATGTTTTTCATAAATTATTTAGTTCTTTATAAAGGAAATTTATCTATCGCGTGTTGCAATCTGGGGTTGTTCATTAACACTACATAATCCAGTGTATGATAAACTGTCTCTTTGTGTCTGTAAGTTGATAAATTATTTTTAATGTGACCGACCTAATGGATACCATGTATGATATCATAATATATAACTTTCAAACAAGAATGGGATACTCTTCCACCCATATATGTTTTAAAGACTTTCATAATCATGTATTGATTAAACACTTAACTGTATAAAAATAATGGTTATCTCTACGGTCATAAGAGTACATCTATGTTTTCTGAAATGGTGTTATAAGTGAGAGCGTGTTGTGTGTTTATTCGGAAATATTTAAAGAAAGTGTATCGTCTATTATTTTATATTCTAGATCTAGTGTTTGTATTCAAAAACACATGTTATAGTATTGTAGAGTAAAATATTCAAAACACTAGTTACTCCACTTTTGAATGACTCCGAATGTATTATACTCTAAATCCGTGTGCATATGACTAATTTCAGAATAAATGTAGATGCCCCCTTTTTACTTATGACGGAACATTTTTGTTATTAGGAATGTCCCGCAAACTTGGGTAAATTAGTCGCTTTAGGCAGTTCTATACGAGCATACCTGTTATTGGAGATTTGTATTAAAAACTAAGCTGAAATAGACACATCACTTTCATTTCGACCTGTCTTCTATACATCAGTCTATTTAATGCATTTTTAGTCTTAAAACAATTTGTGTAATTATACAAGCCGAGAATTCTGTATTATAGGGGCTACACATGATCACTTTTAACTGTCAGTTTAGACTAACCAGTTTTAATTGACAGTGAAAACTGACGTCCTTTGCACCCACACATATTCACTTTTAACTGTTCTCTTTGACCAGAAACAACATTACCATCTCAAGATGTCATCAGCCGACGACGTCGCTTTAGCCGTGCTTGGTTTATTATTAATTTTAAAAAATAAAAATAAAAAAATATACGCAAAGAGTGGTGTAAAGAGTGGAAAATTTATTCCCATGTTAATTTATTAACCGAACTAAAAATTGTTTCGAAGGATTGGCACAACTATCTCAGAATGAGTGAATTTACCTCAATCTCGTGATCACAACACGACTGAAGAAACACCGCCTACACACGCACAGTTTTAACTGATCAGTTCCGTCGTTTCAGTTAAAAAATATGTATCAACAACATATCATCAGTTTTAACTGATAATAAAAAAACTGACAGTTTTCATCGTACACACACTCAGTTTTCACTGTCAGTCAAAACTGACAGTTAAAAGTGATCGTGTGTAGCCCCTATTATATAGAAAATGTTATTGTTAGTTTTTTTTTGTTAAAATATTTAAGACATTTCTGGCTCAACCTACAATTATTTGGAAATATGTGTTATGGTTGCTTTGTTTTATGCAACGTTTTAAAACTTAATGAGTATTGATTGATTGCATATAACTCAGTTACTACCTGGTGACTAGAGAAAAGGGTTATATGCATAAAGCAGACGCTGTTACGTTTAGTTGCATTTCAATATCTCATATTCTTCGATCAATTTGTTGAGATGGACTAATCAAAGTTCCCCTAAAGATAAACTAACCTTAAATTCCAGCAGCAATTATAGCCAAATCTGTTTCAAACAGATCTCTAGTACATATCAGTACTGCTCCATCCACACCACAATGGATGGATGGTTGATTTAAATCAGAGACACTGCTTCATTTAGATTAACTTATAACTTTAGGTTGTCAATGTAATCAAAATTATCAATACAAATCACTAAACAAAGCTGCGATCAAATTGCATTCCTGCAGTTCTTTGAGGTTATAATAAACTTTTTTGGCAGTGAATATTTATTGATTAATTTAAAAGTTTGATAATAATTTATATTGTAGTGAATAAAAACTATAAAAAGAATCGTTCTTTTATTTTAAGTACTATCCTATAACTAAACACATTGAAATAGTAGTAGTTCAAGTCTTTAAAACGCTGATTATTTATTTTGCCCTTTGTGATTAATGATTTTTAAACCATTATTTTAATAACTACATGGACGAAGCGAAACAAGTATGTAAGGATCGTAGCAAGTGGAAAGAAGTGGTCTCTGCCTACCCCTACGGGAAAGAGGCGTGATTATATGTATGTATTTGTTTAACTACATTAGGTCTGCTGGTCAAATGCTTTCCATAGAAAAGCAAGACAGAAACTATAGTAAGAATTATGTAAACATCATCCAAGCTTGTCTAATTTGTATTCAATAATTTAAAATTAAAAATTTTGTACAGTCGACTTCAATATAAGTTATTAGAATAACTGAAAAACTATTGGTCTGACCTTGATCAAATTCATATGGGACCACACGAGAAGTACCAGCTTTCAAATAAAATAAGAATCATCGAAATCGGTTCATCCAGTAAAAAGTTATGAGGTAACACATAAAAAGAAACATACAGTCGAATTGAGTACAGTCTCCTTTTTGGAAGTCTGCAGAAAATACTGGCAAAGTACGTGTCGGGCCAGGCACAATGTAGTGGTAGGGTTTCGTAGTTGCCCATCACAATACGTGGCTTCCTTGATAATGAGTATAAAGAGAGTTCAGGGTTTGACCGCTATAATGATTAAAAATGATCCCAAATAGGAAGATCAAAACTGAAGGACTTATTTTCAAATCAGCCTTATAAGGGAGAGGTATTCAAAACAGATTAAAAAACTTTTCGATTTTGATAATAATACCCTCTATCTACCCCACAAATGAAAATGTAAAGCTAATAGTAGTAATGCATAAAGTAGTTTTCTTCGTTGTGTAACTACGGAACCCAAAAAGTTACGTTTTGCCATAAAATTCACACCAGAGGATAGAAAAAAAAACAGAAGTCTTCAGCAGATGGAGCCCAACATACAACTAAGACCATACCATAGTTATGAAATTAATGCATTGTCATCAGTAATTAATATGTTTACTAAATTTCAGACTACTCAGTTGTTTGGGTGTACACCAAAGTATAAAATTCAATTTTATTCATTGACATGCATACTAATGGGTTAAGCTAATGAAAGCATTTTATGTACTCTCTGAAACTGAATAGTGGCACTCAATGTCTTGATTTCAAATCCAAAGACAATGGTCAAATATTACATTGAAATTACATTCAAAATTGTATGTTGTCAAACAGCCAGACATGGAGTAATTACTTATAAACCATGCAAATGCACAACGAAAAATGAAAAACGAAACACAGCAGCTTTAAGCTGGTATTCTGTGAGAGTGTGGTCCTTCCCTGGTCGAACCAACCCATTCATGCTACAACTATACCAGTAATATAGCTGCAGCATGGCTCTACCACATATATAAAATTGGTTAAGTAAAGATAAATAAAATATTATACTTAATGTATTTTTTGTACTTATCACTACCTTTGGCAAATAATCAAGCACTGTCTGATAGTATACTTAATGTATTTTTTGTACTCATCACTTCCTTTGGTAAGTAATCAAACACTGTCTGATAATAGAAAAACTGCCTGCTAATATGTAAAAGGGTATCATAACAACAAAATGACTAAAACATGATTTTATTTCTTACAACATTAATAGTACTGATTTACATCCAAAATATAAGCTTCTAAGAGTTAATGGTGGTGCTCAGCTGCCTCCTTCCTTCTTATTTCAGCCCATTTGCTGACATTCTCAGGTGAGTTGGCTGGAAAGAAAAACAATATTGATGTTGAAATATTTCATCACTATGTTAGTGACCCTGATGAAATATACTAGTTTTCAACTTTGGATTGAGTTACTCATGAGCCGCCATTGTGAAAAGGAAAACAAAAATTCACTTTTTAGAAAGAACTTTGTTATAGTTTGCCCTATTAGAAAAAATGTTCAGGACAAACTTGAATCTGATTAAATATCTCACACTTTTAAATCTAAATTCTACAGACCATAGCTTTGCTGCCAGCAAAAGGTAAATTTGACACATCAGGGGATTATGGAAGATACAGAAAAACCGAAATGAAAAAATAATTATCTCATTATGATTTTAATGGCACTGCTTATAAATAAAGCTGTATGGAGTACGTGTGTAGTATTTTATGTTTTTTGGACTTCAGCAAGATCGAATTTAAATCTCCCAAAAACCATTTGTGTAAGCAAATACAACAGAGAACACTAAACCATGAAAATGTGCTTTTTATAGAAGATGGTGTTGTTAGGTTTTAAAAATTTGCTGATTTTGGGTGTTTATACTAATTGCAAGTCTAAGTTTGGTGTTTGAATACATTTAAGTAAGTGTTTAGTCTAGTGGTGGTCGATAAATAATAAGAAATGTACAGCCACTAATGGAAAATAATGCTAAGTTGCCTTGGATATATACTTTTAGGTGGATGGTATTGTACTAGGCTTAATAGTTAATTACAAAATTGCACTATAAATTATCTACTTGTAAGCAAGTAAAGTGCCTGGTGTACACAAAGTCCAATCATCATCATCATTACAGCCCTTCACAAGTCCACTGCTGAACATAGGCCTCCCCCAAGGAATGCCATGAAGCACTGTCCTGATCCACCTGCATCCATCGACTTCCTGCATGTTTTACCAGGTTGTCACTCCATCTAGTGGTGTGACGCCCTACACTTCTTCTAACGGTACAAGGCTGCCACTCGAGAAACTTTTTTCCCCATCGGTTGTCAGTTCTTCGAGCTATATGGCCGGCCCATTGCCACTTCAGCTTACTAATCCGTTGGGCTATGTCGGTTACTTTGGTTCTACTGCAGATATCCTCATTTCTAAGTTTATCATGCAGAGAAACCCCGAGCAAAGCCCTCTCCATAGCTCGCTGAGCGACCTTGAGCATTCTCATATGGCTAGCAGTGAAGGACCATGTCTCAGATCCATAAGTCATCACTGGCAACACGCACTAGTGGTACAAGCTCGTTTTCAGGTTTTGAGGTATACCTGATGAGAAGGGAATGATGCGTCGTAATTTCTCAAATGCTGCCCAGCCGAGTTGAATCCGTCAACAACTTCAAGCTTAGTGCTCCCAACTACCGGCATAGGTGTAGATGGATGTTAAACATTATCTTTGTTTTGTCCATGTTCATCTGAAGACCTATCCATTAGGAGACACTATTGAGGTCATTGAGCATAGTGCTTAGGTCTACCAGCGATTCTGCCATAAGGACTATATCGTCGGCAAATCGAAGATGAGTGATGTACTTGCCATTGATGTTAATAACTGAACCCTTTCCAGTCCAGTAGCTTCAGAATGTCTTCCAATGCAGGGGTGAAGAGTTTCGGGGTTATAACGTCACCCTGTCTTACACCTCTCTGCAGTTGGATAGGTTTTGTAGTCTGATTCTGTACTTGGATAGCCATCGTAGCCTTACTGTACAAACACTTCAACACTTCGATATACCGACAGTCAACTTGGCACCGCTGAAGGGACTGTAGCACCAGGTGTGTCACTTTGTAAAAATCTGAGGTATGGAAAATGGTGGCGCGATTTTCAAATTTGTTCGCATTACTCGTGGGGTATTAAGGTTTAAGAGTTTGCAGTGTATATACTCAACTTATTTATTGAACTATAAGATGTGGGGTATTGAGGTTTAAGGGCTTGCGATTTATTTATATGGGGTTTGTAGTAATATGCGATTTATTTCCTAATTTCAGCTATGGAATTCCATACCTTGAAAAACTTGAGGTATGGAGTGCTCCATTCCTTCCATAGTGGAAGTGACACCCCTGTGTAGCACCGCCCAAATGTTGAGAAAATCAAAAGCTTTTTCGTAGTCCACATACGCAAGGCAAAGTGGCAGATTGTACTATTCTATCTTCTGTACAATTTACCATAGACCACATAAACACCGAAGAGTGATGAACATTAATCGGTACAGTATCACAGTTTCTATGTGTTTTTATATAAACAATAATCATTTACCCATCTTGTTAATCTTGTAGAAAACTGGAAGACAGACGCCCATACCAATGAACCAGTAACGCCAGATCCATTGATTCTGGATGTAATATTTAAGCGGGAATTGTGCAATCTTCGCTGAAAACGTGTAAGGGAATTTCATAGGGCGTCTTGGTGTCTCCGACATCGTAATTAATCGATAGCTGCAAACGAAAAACAAGTGATAATATTATGTAATAAGTCGTCTGCTAAAGGAGTTTCGGAAAAAGAATCCTATTATTAAACGATTAAGTTATTACTAACGTAGTAAAATTTACAAATAAAGACGTAAAAATTAACACTAAATAATAAAAAAAAAGTTAAATTAAAGCAGAAATAACCTCACCTTTCCACTTTTAAGAGGGTACAACCACAGACTAATTAGTGGATTTTACAAGGAAGATTCTACTTCTACCAGAATGGTACAACCACAGAGTACATTATATATTAGGTACAACCACAGAAAATATATATCCCTAAAGGGATGGGTACAACTAGAGGTGGGCCATGCAAACCGTATACTCATACGAAATCTATATATTGGTACAATATCTAAAAATCGCTTACTGGTTCGTTTCAAAACTATGTATTACAAAATCTGATATTTGCGTACCGCCACGATGACTAAAGTAAATCGTTACGCATCGGTCGGTGGCTAGATTCACCGTGTGCGAAAGAGTGCGAGCGATATGGGTATTAGATTAGACATGGCGGAAAATTAAAGTCTTACTAAAATCTTATATTTGTATACTACACTAAATAATAAAAAGAAACGATTTCACTAAATCTTAATGAACTTCCCTAGTAATTATTTTTTCAAGTTTTTATATAAATCCCTTGTAATATTTTGATGAAAATGTAAACTAAACAAAATAATATTAAACTGGCGCCCCTTTGTTTAAATTACTACCTATCAACAAATATTTGAGGTAATATCGTAACAACAAAGTACATAAAATAAACATCAACCACTAATGAATTCAGCCAATAGCGTTACATCTATGTGTTAAAAATATTATTTCGTACGTTTTAATAAAAACAACAAAGATTTGCAAAGGATTTATTTATTATGATAATTGTCAAAAACAAGTTCAGCATAAAATATTGGATATGTTTGATATTAAGTATATATATTTAACAAATAATTGTTACAATACTTATTTTTAGACATGTGAATGTTAATGTAATAAATCATAAAATTGCTTTGTAAACCGCCATCTACTCCATTCTATGGATAAAGTCATTTTATCGAACGAAAATTGATTGACCATCAAGGTATAACGAAAAGAAGACGATAGATGGCATAAATACGGCTAGGTAAGAAATCGATCGTGGATGATTTTGAATGGACTGGTTTATGATAATTTTATTAATTATCGTTTATTTTATTTATTTAATAAATTTGCATTTTTTTAACTGTCTATTTTAACAGTTAAAAGATATATTAACCATCTTTATTTAAATACTTCCGGCCGAGACAAATACAGTAGTACTGCTCCTGGTACGGCAATTTCTTACCAGTCGCGTAGCCCAATAGTATATGATTTAGAACCTAATCATCATAACTTTACGAACTATTTTTATGACATCGTTACGTTACAAAGTTATTTCATTATCTTTAATCATAGATGTAAGAATTTAAAGTTTAATTTATTGCCTAATAATGATAAATTTCAAATCTGATTGTTTCTTAAAGTCTAAAATCGAGTGCATTTCATAACATTATTTTATATAGAATTTTCAATATATTTTTAGTTATAACAGATCTGCCAGAATAAATGTAGTGGAAGAAGAAAGTTGCCATTCTTTATCCTTTTAAATGCAATTTATGATGTAAATAAATAATAAAGACACTGTAAATACCTACTATTTTATATTATATATTTTATTGAACTATTTTAATTAAGTATCTAGTGTTGTAAATAAATAACTAATTCAAAACTTTAAAATAATAAAGTTAAAACTACAACTATATCTGCATTAGCTCCAGAAGATAACATAATATAAATTTACTATAATATATCTACAATACTGATTCGCATCGAATAGGTAAGAATAACTATAAAATCCTCGTATCAGATTTCAACAGCGGAGTAGAAAATATAAACAAGTGTACGCAGAATATATAGATAATGAAATATATAGTTTTGATATCAGATATTGAAACTCGAAATCTGATTTAGATACGATTCTCCGAAAGCGCGATACGACCCAGGCCTAGGTACAACACCATAAGACACAGACTAATATGATACTTACCCTGGTATATGCTGTATTATCTATGGTACAAGCACAGACTTCTACTCTTCGGCACAGACTAACTAGTAGATTGATAGATTCTACCGAATGGTAAACGTAGTGATTATATTCTCTTTGGCCGAATGGGTACAACAAATTCAGAACAATAAATAACCTTTAGTTATTATTCTGAGAACATAGACTTATCCCATATCTACTGGGTACAAGTTTGTACAAGGTACCAAATAGAAAAAAGTGTAATATTTTTTTATAACTGGCTTTACGGCTCTGGGTTCTAGCCCTTCTAAGCCAGAAGTTACAATGTATAATTATTCTTCATAGTACACTGCTTCACAATATGTTGATGCATCACATTGTGCAACCTTTGAGAAATTTTGATGTCAACTTGAGCCAGCTGACAGTTGGCGATGGTATGACAAGGCACTTAGGCAGACAGCCACCTTATCTTGAGAATCACATCACCATCAGAGCACTTGTTTCACCGTTTCCACTAATAGTTCACATGCGCAGACACTTAATGCACAGAATCGCACCACATTTACATATCAAAGTCCACTTCAAACCATTATTTAAACAATAATACAGGAGCAGCAAACTGCCGCCGTTCAAGTCCCCGCCAAAACTCAGAATATAATATTTTTCTTCTTAATAACTGGCTTTACGGCTCTGGGATCTAGCCCTTCTGAGCCTGAAGTTACAATATATTATAATAAATATCCTTCATAGTATACTGCTTCATAATATGTTGATGCGTCAAATTGTGCAGCCCTTGGGAGATTTTGATGGCAACTTGAGCCAGCAGACAGCTGACGGTTGGCGATGGTATCTCAAGGCGCCTAAGGAGACAGATACCTTATCTTGAGAATCACATCACCATCAGCGCACTTGTTTTACAGTTTCCTCTAATAGCTCACATGCGCAGACACGTAATACACAAAATCACACCACTTCTACATATCAAAGTCCACTTCAAACCATTATTTAAACAATAACACAGGAGCAGCAAACCGCCGTCGGTCAAGTTCCCGGCAAAACTCTCAGAATATTTTTTTTTTTAATAACTGGCTTTACGGCTCTGGGATCTAGCTCTTCTGAGCCTGAAGTTACAATATATTATAATTATCCTTCATAGTATACTGCTTCACAATATGTTGATGCGTCACATTGTGCAGCCCGTGGGAGGTTTTGACTGAAACTTGAGCCAGCACACAGCTGACAGTTGGCGATGGTATCTCAAGGCACCTATGGAGACAGATACCTTATCTGAGAATCACATCACCATCAGAGCACTTGTTTTACAGATTCCACTAATAGTTCACATGCACAGACACATAATACACAAAATCGCACCACTTCTAAATATCAAAGTCCACTTCAAACCAATATTTAAACAATAATATACGAGCAGCAAACCGCCGCCGGACAAGTTCTCGCCATAACTCTCAGAATATAATAATATGCAATAGAATCACAGATTACTGTGTTTTAACTAGAGATGTAATATAGAAGATAGAAGGTACTCTGCAAAGAGCACAGACAGATTACTAAATTACTATATACTAGGCAAAGAGTAAGCTTATCTATGGCAATGAGTGACTGAAAATAATAATTGAAATCGAACATAAAAATTGTCTGTTCAGCTTTTAATTATTTATAATTAATTCAACAAATTTCATCTTTATGTTGACCCCCTTATTGTAAATTTTAACTTTTATGCCTTAAATTTTTAAATTTTTACTAAATATGTTTAGTTATTGTTCACCTATTTCTTATTGATAGTTATTGTTGATTTATTTATTGTTAATTTATTTATTGATGATCAAACTCAAACTTAAATTCAAACATTTTATTGCGTTCATAAATAGTTCTTATATTGAATATAATAGAGCCAAACATGAGCCCTGATAGGGCATAGCAACAGTATATAACAATTTAATTTAATTGATTTAGAAAAGAGAATTACTTATTTTATTAATCTGAACAATGCCGTGTAATGGCGGTTAAGAATATCCACTACCCCATATCTTCCCGTGGGTGTTGTAAAAGGCGACAAAGGGAAACAGACAGGAGATGGGCATCAACATCTTCCTGATAACAGCAAAAATTAGAATAAAAAAAATTCGGTTGCCAACCCGCCCGCCAAACGTGGCAACTATGGCAATATACCCCCGATGAGCAATGACAATAATAAATGGCCACCAGTCCCCGGCGGCCCCGCTCTTCCTGGCTACGGTGGAGACCATGGTAACGGCGGGGCAGGCGGTGCTAAGAATCTCCGGTGGAGGTTCGGTTGCCACCTAAGACGACTTGACCTGGCAACATACAACGCACGCACCCTGAGAACTGACGAGAAGATTGTGGAGCTGGAAGAAGAGATAGACAAGTTGCGCTGGCATATTATAGGATAATCCGAAGTCCGAAGAGAAGGAGAGGACACGGTAATCCTCGAATACGGCAACTTGCTTTATCACCGGGAGGGCGACCATCTGTCCCAAGGAGGTGTCGGATTTATCGTCCACAAGTGTCTCGTTAACAACGTAGTAAAGATTGAGAGTGTGTCGACGAGGGTTGCGTACCTTATACTCAGAATCACCAAACGGTATTCGCTGAAGGTCATACAGGTTTACGCACCAACTTTGGCTCACCCCGATGAGGAGGTGGAGAAAATGTATGAGGATATCTCTAGAGCCATGTATTCCCCAAAACCCACTATACGGTGATAATGGGAGACTTCAACGCAAAACTAGGCACAAGAGAGAACGATGAGCTGAAAGTAGGAAAATTCGGAATAGGGCAACGGAACCCAAGGGGCCAGCAGCTGGCCGACTTCATGGAGAAAGAGGGACTTTTTATGATGAACTCTTCTTCCAGAAACGGCCCCACAGGAAG